GTTCCAAGGGGGCAGCCACTGTGGAACTCTTCTGTCCTATATAAGATGAAGATTTCATGAAGATTCGTATGATATCCTTGGTAATCCGAAGAAGATCTCAGAATATCTCTGGAGATTATTACTTTTTTTATTGATTCACCTATGTCAAGATTTGGTTGAGTTATATGCCCTAATAAAATATTGAAAAAATGATCATAATTTTGATGTTTGTATAGGGTTGTTCCAAGGGGGCAGCCACTGTGGAACTCTTCTGTCATATATAAGATGAAGATTTCATAAAGATTCGTATGATATCCTTGGTAATCCGAAGAAGATCTCAGAATATCTCTGGAGATTATTACTTTTTTTATTGATTCACCTATGTCAAGATTTGGTTGAGTTATATGCCCTAATAAAATATTGAAAAAATGATCATAATTTTGATGTTTGTATAGGGTTGTTCCAAGGGGGCAGCCACTGTGGAACTCTTCTGTCATATATAAGATGAAGATTTCATAAAGATTCATATGATATCCTTGGTAATCCGAAGAAGATCTCAGAATATCTCTGGAGATTATTACTTTTTTTATTGATTCACCTATGTCAAGATTTGGTTGAGTTATATGCCCTAATAAAATATTGAAAAAATGATCATAATTTTGATGTTTGTATAGGGTTGTTCCAAGGGGGCAGCCACTGTGGAACTCTTCTGTCCTATATAAGATGAAGATTTCATGAAGATTCGTATGATATCCTTGGTAATCCGAAGAAGATCTCAGAATATATCTGGAGATTATTACTTTTTTTATTGATTCACCTATGTCAAGATTTGGTTGAGTTATATGCCCTAATCAAATATTGAAAAAATAATCATAATTTTGATGTTTGTATAGGGTTGTTCCAAGGGGGCAGCCACTGTGGAACTCTTCTGTCCTATATAAGATGAAGATTTCATGAAGATTCGTATGATATCCTTGGTAATCCGAAGAAGATCTCAGAATATCTCTGGAGATTATTACTTTTTTTATTGATTCACCTATGTCAAGATTTGGTTGAGTTATATGCCCTAATAAAATATTGAAAAAATGATCATAATTTTGATGTTTGTATAGGGTTGTTCCAAGGGGGCAGCCACTGTGGAACTCTTCTGTCATATATAAGATGAAGATTTCATAAAGATTCGTATGATATCCTTGGTAATCCGAAGAAGATCTCAGAATATCTCTGGAGATTATTACTTTTTTTATTGATTCACCTATGTCAAGATTTGGTTGAGTTATATGCCCTAATAAAATATTGAAAAAATGATCATAATTTTGATGTTTGTATAGGGTTGTTCCAAGGGGGCAGCCACTGTGGAACTCTTCTGTCATATATAAGATGAAGATTTCATAAAGATTCATATGATATCCTTGGTAATCCGAAGAAGATCTCAGAATATCTCTGGAGATTATTACTTTTTTTATTGATTCACCTATGTCAAGATTTGGTTGAGTTATATGCCCTAATAAAATATTGAAAAAATGATCATAATTTTGATGTTTGTATAGGGTTGTTCCAAGGGGGCAGCCACTGTGGAACTCTTCTGTCATATATAAGATGAAGATTTCATAAAGATTCATATGATATCCTTGGTAATCCGAAGAAGATCTCAGAATATCTCTGGAGATTATTACTTTTTTTATTGATTCACCTATGTCAAGATTTGGTTGAGTTATATGCCCTAATAAAATATTGAAAAAATGATCATAATTTTGATGTTTGTATAGGGTTGTTCCAAGGGGGCAGCCACTGTGGAACTCTTCTGTCCTATATAAGATGAAGATTTCATGAAGATTCGTATGATATCCTTGGTAATCCGAAGAAGATCTCAGAATATATCTGGAGATTATTACTTTTTTTATTGATTCACCTATGTCAAGATTTGGTTGAGTTATATGCCCTAATAAAATATTGAAAAAATGATCATAATTTTGATGTTTGTATAGGGTTGTTCCAAGGGGGCAGCCACTGTGGAACTCTTCTGTCCTATATAAGATGAAGATTTCATGAAGATTCGTATGATATCCTTGGTAATCCGAAAAAGATCTCAGAATTTCTCTGGAGATTATTACCTTTTTTATTGATTTACCTATGTCAAGATTTGGTTGAGTTATATGCCCTAATCAAATATTGAAAAAATAATCATAATTTTGATGTTTGTACAGGGTTTTTTCAAGCGGGTAGCCACTGTGGAACTCTTTTGTCCTATATGGAGATTTCATAAAGATTCATATGATATCTTTGGTAATCCAAAGAAGATCTCAAAATATCTCAAAAAAATAATTCTGTATAAAGCGTAAAATTTGTGCGTAAAAACCAAAATTTGTTCACTGAGTGGTTTTGAAACCGTTTATGGGACTGTTTTTGACGTGTTGGAACAGACCTTTTTTAATGATAAGTTTTTCAATTATTAATATTTTTTGTTTTAGCTCAAACCTTTCAATCCACCCATGTGCTTAGAGTGCAAATATTTAAAAACCAATTTGATAGCTTGAAGCAAATAATTGTGAACAAATTATACTAAATTATATAGTGCTTTAAAAACCAAAAAAAAAAAAGAGTTTCAATATTATCATTTAAGATTAATTTATAGTTTGCATTAATAATTGTTGTTTTTCTTTTAGGTTTATCAACAGAAAAAAAGGCAAATTCCTATGTGAATTATGCGGTGAATATTTTGCAAATCTTTCAAATTTGTACAGGCATAGACGAATTCATTTCGGTACCGACGTGTCGGTGTGCGAAATTTGCGGCAAAAACCTGAAAACCAAACGGTTGCAGTACCACTTGGCTTCACACAGAAACGAAAAACCCTTTTTGTGCAATATTTGCGGTAGCAGATTAAGGAATTCGAAAAATTTGGAATTGCACATTTTGACTATTCATAAGAAACAGAAATTGTTTGAGTGTGGAGTATGTGGTTTGAAGTATACTAGGAGGTACTCTTTGGTGCAACATATCAAATTGAAGCATAATGAATCGTGATTATTATAATTATTAAGTGGTAAATATTGAGTGTCAGAAGTTGAGAAATGTAGTATGTAGCACATAGTTATGTGAGACTTGATTATTTTGCAATATGTATAACGTTAAAAAATAAATTTTGGAAAAGAAAACTGGATCATTATGACTCAGATGGAGAAAGTTCTTGAGATTTCCTTATATTTTGAGGAAGCCTTCAACATAGTATAAGTAACGCATATTTGATTTTTAGGTTCAAAAGAAGAAATAAAAAACTGAAACAATGCAAAAAATGCCCTAAAACCTTCACAACCATCAAAAAACTAAAACTCCACCAAAAACAACATTCCTCTCTATTGCCAATCAAAGAACACTTGTCGCAATACAACAAAAAATCAAACACCTACAAGTGCCAATTGTGCCGAAAACAATTCCGCACTCAAACTTTAGCTGATGAACATCTAAACTCCAACAAAACCCAAAGTTTCGGTTGCCTTAAATGTCCCCACAAATTCGAATCCCTAAGGGCCTTATTCCACCACATGACCAACCATTTGGAGCCCAACAACGAAATCCCTTGTCCAATGTGCAACTACAAAACTTTACAAATAAAAAAACTCTTAAGTCATTTGACATCGTGCCATAGTAAAGCAAATTCGTGCGACAAGTGCGGCAAATGCTTCAGATCAAAAGCAAACCTAAAAAAGCACATGCTTAGGCATGATGAAACTAAAAAGGCAACTTGCGTGGTTTGCTCAAATGCTTATTTTGGTAATAATGCTTTATTAAGACATCAAGTGACCATGCACAAGGCAACAATAGCAAGTGACCCGATGCTTCTTTGGTGCAACATTTGTAAAACAAACTTCAAAACGGCCAACTTATTGAAGTACCACGTTAAAAAAGCTCATATTAAAAACTTGGTTATAAGTGTAGAAAAAAAATGCTTGTGTGATATTTGTGGGCAAGGCTTTAAAGATTCAGATAATCTTAAGAAGCATAAAATATCTCACACTGACAATAGGCCGTTTAAATGTTTCGAATGCGGCAAAGCTTTTAAGCACAAATATGTGCTAACTTATCATCAGAGGACTCATACTGGCGAAAGGCCTTATAGTTGCGGTTATTGCGGTAAAACTTTCAGGCAATGGACACCGTATAAGGTGCATTTGAGAGGCCATACTGGAGAAAAGCCTTATGTTTGTAAATTATGCGATAAAGGGTTTACGACTAATCAAGGACTCAGATTGCATGTGGCTAGTTGTTTTGATAGTAGAGCTGAGACCAATAATTGAATTGTTATTTATTAAATAAATAGTTTAAATATTCATATTGATGTTTTTATCCTAATCCTAATGTATTGTGGCCTCCGCCAGGCTGTCAAGAATCTAAGGCATTCGCTATTGAATATCCTAGAATCTCGTTCGGGAAAATAAGACTTTGATTTTTGGAATAAACGAAACGAACCCAAGATTTCTGTCAGGCAATCCAAAGCCGTGACAGTATTTCCTTTTCTGTTCAGTACTATATAACAATAGGATGTCCTGTGACCTACAGCTATAGTAGATATCCTTAAATATTTGTGGGATACAAGGTACTCTAAAAAATCATGCTCTAAGGTACTATGAAAATTTGACAGACAGTTCAAACGTGTTAAAAATAAAGAGAAATTGGGTAGTTTGAACTAAAAACAATGTAGTTACAAGGAATAGAAAAGCTGTAATAAAAAAGAGACAAATATAGGAAAAACTTCATTAAGAAGCTGTAGAGAGAATAGCAAACAGCCAAAAAATGTTTCCAATACGTGCGCAAAGTATCTTTCCTGTATTCGAAACCTGTGGAAAATACTACTTGCGCACTAGTTAGGAAAATAGATATTTTTTTCCTTTTTTTTATAAGATTTTTTGTTAATGGTTTCTATAGATTTCAAGGAAGGTTTGGCAACATCATGAGGCTCATTGTACAGGGTGTTTTTTTTTATATATTGACACGTCACCTACAGCCTTCACTTTTAAAGGTAGCAAAAAGGTGTAAATACAAAAGTGGTGCAAGACTCAAGAGCCTGGAATAAAAAAAAGAGAATTAACAGTATTTTTTAAAATATTCTCGTCTGTTTTTCTCTTTTTCTTTAGTGTCATAGTTTCTTTATCAGATGAGACTCCTAAATTTAATTTCCATAAAAGAATAAAAGGGTCTTTATTCTCGAATTCTCAAAATAATGAATGAGTGACGAAGAGAGAACCTTCGCTCTTTGGAGAACATTTATTTCAAGAATAAGGACCCCAGAGAACCTGGAATGAACAAGATATTAACAATTTTCTATAGATTTCTCCTCCTTATTTCTCTCCTTTTAATGTCAATTTTCCATTATTCCAGGCTCTTGAATTTCTGTTTTCTTCCACATGCATTTTTATGAGAGAATAAGAAATAGGACTCAAGAGCCTGGAATAAAAAAAGAAAATTAACAATATTTCTTTAAATATTCTCATCTGTTTTTGTCTTTTCTTTAATGTCATATACTTTCTTTATCAGATGAGACTCCTAAATTTAATTTCCATAAAAGAATAAAAGGGTCTTTATTCTCGAAATTGGAGAAACTGTGTTCTCATGAGAACCATTGCACTGTCTTTGTCAGAGTTAAGGAATAATGAATGAGTGACGAAGAGAGAACCTTCGCTCTTATAGGAGAACATTTGTTTCAAGAATAAGGACCCCAGAGAACCTGGAATGAACAAGATATTTACAATTTTCCATAGATTTCTCCTCTTTATTTCTCTCCTTTTAATGTCAATTTTCCATTATTCCAGGCTCTTGAATTTCTGTTTTCTTCCACATGCATTTTTATGAGAGAATAAGAAATAGGACTCAAGAGCCTGGAATAAAAAAAGAAAATTAACAATATTTTTTTAAATATTCTCATCTGTTTTTGTCTTTTCTTTAATGTCATATACTTTCTTTATCAGATGAGACTCCTAAATTTAATTTCCATAAAAGAATAAAAGGGTCTTTATTCTCGAAACCGGAGAACTGTGTTCTCATGAGAACCATTGCACTGTCTTTGTCAGTGTTAAGGAATAATGAACGAGTGACGAAGAGAGAACCTCGCTCTTTGGAGAACATTTGTTTCAAGAATAAGGACCCCAGAGAACCTGGAATGAACAAGATATTAACAATTTTCCATAGATTTCTTCTCTTTATTTCTCTCCTTTTAATGTCAATTTTCCATTATTCCAGGCTCTTGAATTTCTGTTTTCTTCCACATGCATTTTTATGAGAGAATAAGAAATAGGACTCAAGAGCCTGGAATAAAAAAAGAAAATTAACAATATTTTTTTAAATATTCTCATCTGTTTTTGTCTTTTCTTTAGTGTCATACTTTCTTTATCAGATGAGACTCCTAAATTTAATTTCCATAAAAGAATAAAAGGGTCTTTATTCTCGAAATTGGAGAAACTGTGTTCTCATGAGAACCATTGCACTGTCTTTGTCAGTGTTAAGGAATAATGACTGAGTGACGAAGAGAGAACCTTCGCTCTTATAGGAGAACATTTGTTTCAAGAATAAGGACCCCAGAGAACCTGGAATGAACAAGATATTTACAATTTTCCATAGATTTCTCCTCTTTATTTCTCTCCTTTTTATGTCAATTTTTCACTATTCCAGGCTCTTGAATTTCTGTTTTCTTTTTATGAGAGAATAAGGAAGACTCAAGAGCCTGGAATAAAAAAAGAAAATTAACAATATTTTTTCAAATATTCTCATGTGTTTTTGTCTTTTCTTTAATGTCATATACTTTCTTTATCAGATGAGACTCCTAAATTTAATTTCCATAAAAGAATAAAAGGGTCTTTATTCTCGAAATTGGAGAAACTGTGTTCTCATGAGAACCATTGCACTGTCTTTGTCAGTGTTAAGGAATAATGACTGAGTGACGAAGAGAGAACCTTCGCTCTTATAGGAGAACATTTGTTTCAAGAATAAGGACCCCAGAGAACCTGGAATGAACAAGATATTTACAATTTTCCATAGATTTCTCCTCCTTATTTTTCTCCTTTTAATGTCAATTTTCCATTATTCCAGGCTCTTGAATTTCTGTTTTCTTCCACATGCATTTTTATGAGAGAATAAGAAATAGGACTCAAGAGCCTGGAATAAAAAAAGAAAATTAACAATATTTTTTTAAATATTCTCATCTGTTTTTGTCTTTTCTTTAATGTCCTATACTTTCTTTATCAGATGAGACTCCTAAATTTAATTTCCATAAAAGAATAAAAGGGTCTTTATTCTCGAAATTGGAGAAACTGTGTTCTCATGAGAACCATTGCACTGTCTTTGTCAGTGTTAAGGAATAATGACTGAGTGACGAAGAGAGAACCTTCGCTCTTATAGGAGAACATTTGTTTCAAGAATAAGGACCCCAGAGAACCTGGAATGAACAAGATATTTACAATTTTCCATAGATTTCTCCTCCTTATTTCTCTCCTTTTAATGTCAATTTGTCATTATTCCAGGCTCTTGAATTTCTATTTTCTTCCACATTTATTTTTATGAGAGAATAAGGAATAAGACTCAAGAGCCTAGAATAAAAAAAGAAAATTACCAACTTTTTTCTCAAAATTCCCGTCTTTTTTTCTCTTTTCTTTATTGCCTTATCATACTTTGTTTATCGCAGAGGCTTCTAAATTTAAAGGAACATTCCAGGGTCTTTATTCCCAACACCAAAATGTTCTTATGAAAACGATTTTCGATTTTTGTCAGGTGTTATATGGAAACATGAATATGGGCGACGAAGAGAGAACCTTATTCGTTCTCAAGAGTACATTGTTCCCCTGTTTCGAGAATAAGCATCCAGAGCCTAGAATAAAACAGAACATTATCAATTTTCAATAGATTATTCCTTTTTGTTTCCCTTTTTTCAATGTCAATTTTTCACTATTCCAGGCTCCTTTTTTTTTTGTTAAAAAAAAACAACTCTTCGAGAGCCTGGAACTTAAAAAGTACCAAAAGAATATGGTACCAGTAAATCATCACCCCAATTGATTAATCAATAATGTCAATACATAATATTTTGTCAAAACATTTTTTTTTTTTTCAACAAAAATTAACGAGTACATGCAAATAAGAGACTTGAAAGCCGGATGGAAAATCAACAATGGAGATTCATGCCCATGGAAATACTGGGCATTGTTTTCCGGTACCTGATGCGCAGACGGGACAAACTGGCCTTCATTTTAGTTTGTCCAGAGTGGATGGAAGCGGTCGATTTTAAAGTCTTTTGGGCGAAATTCATTGTTAAGATTGACGAAGACTTTTCTGGTTTGTATGAACTCTCATAGGGCAGAGTTTCTCAATTCCCGGATTAAACATAACTCCATTCTGAAGTTGAAATCAAACCGGAAGTGACTGGCTATATTGAGAAACCTACCCTTAAGTTACTCAAATATTATCCTAGTTTTTTTCAGAGCCTAGTTTAATTTACTTAACTCAAAAATATTACAAATACATTACAATATTGGAAATTGGATGGGGCAATACAAGAAATCACAGCTTATTTTTTATGAGATTTAGGGATATTATCAAAAGAGTGGGCAGATTTTTTACGATATTGTACGAACATTACGTCCAACTACATAGGCTTAATATTTTCGATTGGTACGATGTACATGCCTTAAGAAAATTAAGCTATTTGCTGATGAGATTTATGAAGTATGTATATTTATATTATACTATAATTGTTTTAATAGAATCTCTTTATTATATATTAGGAGGCAATATTATTTAAAAGCAGTCACCCTCAACAACGCAAATTTCCCCGACATAGCATTCTCAAATAGCTTATTAGCATTTCTACGATCAAAATCAAGCCTAAAACACATGACCCTACATTTTTCCACTTTCAATGCCAGGAAACTATTCGACTGTTTCGCCTTTAGCACAACAATGGAGCTGTTTCAAAACTTAGAAATAATCAGCATCGATTGCTGGATTTTCTACAAATTTTTCGACAAACTCCAAATGAAGTTCAACAAAGTAAGACTAATTTACTTGTACTTGGATTATACGTTCAAAAAAGCCGAACCTGTCATTAGAATTCGTCAATGCCAATGGGAAAAGTTTCACGAATATTTTCCTCATGCGGTTGTTAATTATATCATCGATAGGCCGATGAAGGATAAACAATTCGAAGGGATTTTACAAAGCCAATACATTTTGGTGTCGTTTATATGGAACTATTATCCTTACAAGGAAAGTTGTTTGGTTGATTGTTACCAATGTTTGCAGAGAATCGTGGATTTACAATCAGAAAACATAGGTAGGTTTGATGATTTTTTTATGGGGATTTTATTGATATTATAGTGGTTTTATTTGTATAGAGTATATCAATTTGACTTTGCCTACGGACGATTTGGATACTTTGCAGTACAAATTGAGAAGTTTTAAGAGAATTTGTTCCAAGCTCAAGTCGTTTTTGTTGAACAACGAGGAACTAATGGTGAAAAAACCAATATTTTCGAAATAAATGTGGTTTTGTGTACTTAGATAGCATGTGGTTTTATTTTAAGTAGAGCCAAGGTTGAATTGGATTAAGTATTCTTGGTACAACTTTTGTATTTACACCTTTTTTCTATCTGTAAAGGTAAAGGCTGTAGGTGGGGTGTCAATATATAAAAAAACACCCTGTAATTACAAATAAGTGGATTATTGCGGAACTTATGGGTGGACCTCTGCGGGACGAGCGCAGCGAGTTCCGCAGCCATCCACTCATCAATATACTATTGAATTGTTCAAGTAAGACATTCATCTAAATGTAGTTTTCGAATTAATGGGAAAAACTCACAACTGAGAGAATCAAGTTAGTATTGTACTTGAACAACATATTGGTGAATAGATGACTGCGGAACTCGCTACGCTCGTCCCGCAGAGGTCCACCCATAAATTTCCCAACAATCCACTCGTTTGTACTTGAATAACTTGTCACATTATGTTACTATAGTTTGGTAAAGTAACATTACCAATTCCTGTTAAAAGGCAAATTGACAAAAAGCGGATAGTCTTACAAATTTTGATTTTATATAATAAGTTATTGTTCAAGTACAAATAAGTGGATTGTTGTGGAACTTATGGGTGGACAGCCATTTATTCATTAACTGTTGAACTGTTCAAGTAAGTCATTTACCTGAAACGTGTAGTTTTTTTAACTAATGACAAATAACTGACATTTGAGTGAGTCAGGTTAGTATCGTATTTGAACAATATATTGGTGAATAGATGGCTGCGGAACTCGCTGCGCTCGTCCCGCAGAGGTCCATCCATAACTTCCGCAACAATTTACTTATTTGTAATTGAATAACTTGTCACATATGTTACTAGTTTGGTAAAGTAACATAACTAATTCCTGTTGAAACGTGAATTGACAAAAAGTGGATTTTCTTACAAATTCTGACTTAATGTGATAAGTTATTTTTTAAGTACAAATAAGTAAATTGTTGCAAAACTTATGAGTGGACCTCTGCGGGACGAGCGCCAGCGAGTTCCGCAGCCATCTACTCATTAACATACTGTTGAACTGTTCAAATAAGACACTCACCTGAAACGTGTAGTTTTTAAACTAATGAGAATAACTCACATTTGACTGAGTCAGGTTAGTATCGTACTTAAACAACGTATTAATGACCGGTGTGAAATTAGCCTCTAAAGATAGCCTCCAAAACTTCCGGAAACTGCCGAACGGTCAGTGGCGTCGGAAATATAAGACAATACAATAACCTTAAATCTGCTCGTACTGACAGGGTCATATTTTCAGGAAAAATTGGGACAAGCATTTACTATTTTTTCACCCTAACACCAGATTCCGATAGGCCGTCAGAGGGTGTCAAAATAGGGGTGGAAATAAAAAAAAAATATATCTCAAAATCTGCTCGTGCTGACAGATTCATATTTTCAGGACAAATTATGATAAGGATTTGTTATTTTATTTCCACCCCTATTTTGAAACCCTCTGACGGCCTATCGGGATCTAATGTTAGGGTGCAAAAATACAAAATGCTTGTCGTAATTTATCCTGCAACTATAAATCTGTGAGCACGAGCATATTTTGAGATATGATTTTCTTGATATCTTCAACCCTATTTTGACACCCTCTGACGGCCTATCGGAATCTGGTGTTAGGGTGAAAAAATAGTAAATGCTTGTCCCTATTTTTCCTGAAAATATGACTCTGTCAGTACGAGCAGATTTAAGGTTATTGTATTGTCTTATATTTCCGACGCCACTGACCGTTCGGCAGTTTCCGGAAGTTTTGGAGGCTATCTTTAGAGGCTAATTTCACACCGGTGTATTAATGAATAGATGACTGCGGGATGTATAGTATTTTTAATCTGAATTGAAACACTAAAAAAACATCTAAGCCGTTTTTTCGCGTTCACTTTTTTTGTCATTGGTTCAAAACAGGTTTGAAATGGTTTGTACCAATCAAAATAACCCGCCCCTTGACCGATTTGTGATTTATGTGAGAACAGGCTTAAAGATTCTAATCAAATTTGCAATAATTTTAGGGAAAACATTATAATAATAATAGGCTGCTTAGTACGGCCCTGATCACCCAAACTTCATTGGAAACGCACAAAATATTTTTTTAAAGATTTTCTTGGTTCCAACTCGCAAATTCGAGTTGGTTGGTTACAAGTCAATGCCTGAGCTAGAGTATAGTCAATGACTTTGTTAAAAGTGGTAATCAAGGCAGATTGAATCATTTTGATATGTTTGTCCCATAAACGTAGTCTATCTTCTTCTATGGTATAGTATAGGCAAAATCAATATTTTTTTGAGACACTGCAGGATTCTATTAAAACAATACCTACATCCAGCATACAGCATTCTATTCCAACAGTATCTACATATCCAGAACCTAACATTCTATCTCATAATAATTTACATCATTCATTCTTCACACAAGCTTATATATGTATATTTTTTTCATTAACGCACTATTGGAAAGCTAAATAAAAAAAAAATAATGATGAAAATATAGGCGCGAAAGATTTTCTGGAAAACTAATTTTTGGACACCACCCTGTATAATTTACTCCCAGTTATAGAGAATCAAATAAATCACTATATTTAAATTTAAAAAAAATAAAATAGAAAAGTTCTGAACTGTTCCAGACTCAGACATTAGAAAAATCAAGGATTGTTTATTCAAAATTCAATAAATCCCAATTATCAAAAAATAATTTTTGGTACTTACTAAGTACTTACCAAAATCCAGAAATCAATTGGTACACTATGGACACACGACACAAAAATCGGAAAATTTTAATTTGTGTTAAAAAAAAGAAAGTCGACTGATGGCGGTGCTTCATCTCCGGCGATCCGTACTCGACTAAATATGACTAAAAAATCCATTGTCCGACAAGAACCCCCCAAAAAAAAAAAGGTAAACAAATAAGGTAATAAATATGAATAAGTAAGATAGGCAAAAAAACCTAACTGCGTAATAGAGTAGGTAGTATTCCGACGGCAAGTGTAAATGTAAATCCCCTGTTTCTATAGTTAGCTACAGTGCCGAATTAGTGTTAATTTTTTTTTCAAGTTTATTTTAGCTTTGTTGCAACAAAGCAGAAAAAACTGTACAATGCGCAATACCAAAAAATTCGTATACAGAATAGTTCCGAAATCGTATTTTGGGACGGTGATTTTTGTGTATTCCAGGCTGAGGTTTTTAAATTGTTCAAAATGTGGCTGAAAAGTGTTTAAAATGGCTTATTGAAGTTTTAAAGTGTTCTAACTTTCTTAGCTTGAAGAGTTTTGGAGCATTCTAGAAGTTTTTCAGTGATTTCTAAATTATTCTGACTGCTTTTTAAGTATTTAGAGTGTTTCAAGTTTGTTCAAAAAAGTTCTAAAGGTTTCCAGTTCTAAATTGAATCCTATAATATTGTTCTAGAATAACTCTGAAGTTTCTCAATTGCAAATCTTGACACGCTCATGAATAATTGTTTATATCTTGGATTATTCTTGAGCAAATTAGTAATAACTATATGTCATTGGAAACAGTATTAAATTCTCTATAAGCCTGTGCAAGATTGATTTGTGTAGCTTGTGAATCTTTTCAAGATATTGAGCTTCAAAGTTGAAATTTAGTCGAGATTTTGTTTGATTTGATTTTCTCAAAAACTCTAAATGCTAGCGATTTCAACTAAAGACCATCTTGAAGTTTTTATCAAGGGTTACAATTCCTGAAAGTTTTGTACCGCTTTTGGTTACCAAGATATTCAGGTTTGAAGATTTGCGAAAGGAAAAAGTGCAAAAAATTGAAAAATTTTATTTTTGGGTTTTTCTCATGTTTGACTTTAGAAATCAATAGAGCGGGTCCAAATTAGTCAGAAACAATTCTAACATCAATTACAATTGGAAATTTCAATGAAAAAAAAATCCAAAAAATTCATTTTTGGTTCTAAAAATTTTAACAAGCTCATGAATAATTGCTTATATCTTCGATTATTTTTCAGCAAATTAATAACAACCATATATCACTGAAAAGAGCATTAAATTCTCTATAAGACTGTATTTTTGGAGTTTCCAAAATATCGAGCTTAAAAGTTGAAATTTAGTCGACATTTTGTCTAAGACTTGAAACTCGGTGTAAACCCCTAACGATTCCAGCTAAATACTATTTTGAAAACTTGGAGAAAACTCAAAAGCCTGTAATAGAAAAACAATAATTTTTCTATCAATTTTCATATGATATTAGGAAATCGCCTATAAATTTAAAAACCCATTAATTTTGTGAATTCTCTCGTTTAAAACATAACACAAAACGTGAAATTATAGATGAATGTTGATTAGAAACACAGTTTGAACGACATTTTATCAGGAACAGATAAAAATTATAAGACTTTAAAGAGACTGAAAAATAGAACTTTGATGAATATTGCCAAATCTCTATAAAGTCTTCAAAAAATTTAGGAAAAACTTGAAAGACTCTTGATTAAAAGGACTATCTTGTTAGAAACCATATGTTAAATACTAAAGACTTTAAAGATTCTAAAGAGTTTAATTCTTGGACTTGAAAGATTTTTGACACACAGGAACGATCCTATATGGACATATCTTTTACAACAAAAAAACTTATTAATGTCTTAAAATATTACTGATACCAACTTCCTTTTTACTGGAATTCATTTACAAAAATCATAAACCTTCCATTGGTTGAAAACAGCCAGGAAACTGATGATTTGCACCAATCAAAATAACGTCATAACCAAACGCTTGTACATAAAATAAATTACCTATCTCTTATTACAAGATTACACAACAGTAGGCAATTAAACTGCTGAGGGTTTATTCTGGAATAAATATTATATCATCCAAGCACACTTGGACCAAGCCAGCCTACTTACTTGGTTACTATGTTAAAACCCATACCACTGGACCAAAGTATTGTCCAAGTAAGGTACTTGGTACTTGATTCAAGTACACCTTGGACCGTGTCAACCTGGCTCAAGGTTTCAAACAATAAAACCATAAACATCTTATTATTAAAATCGATTTATTTCTTAATAATATAAAAATGGTTCAGTCCTACTAATAAATAAATAAATAAATAAAATTGAAGCTTCAGTGTTAAGAGCAAAAACCTGCCTTCACTCTTAACACAAAAGATTAATACCGCTAAAAAAACCGTAAATGCTGAACATAAATTAAAAAAATTGTCCACATATTATATCCAGCAACTACAATTTCAAACCCTATCACCCATATTTACACAAACTTACACTAAAGGTTAACTTTTGTCTAAAAATTAATCAATCATTTTTCCTCTCTCTCAGCAACTCCAGCATCCTTGCCATCAACTTCTGGATAAATCGGTTTGAATCCGCCAATCAATTGAGGCTTGAAATTTTCAATATCAAACTCGCTGGTTGTAGCCATAGGCAAAGTTGTAGCCTCAGGCTCTTCCGCAACAGTTGTAGTTTTATTTTTATCTCTAACCACCGACCAACCTTGGTTAGTAGCTGCATCAAGCTTGACGCTGGCCTGGAAAGGAGCCTGAAAATCTTGCTGGGGACGAGGCTTATCTGCTTCAATATCTATATCGACTTTATGGTTGAATTGCAAATTGATGTTGGGCCTTACATATCCAGTGTCAACGTTTTCTACTGTTCCAGGACGTATTTCTGGAATAACTGGACTACCATAGTTGGGCATTGAGTATTTGTCCAAATTCAAATTAGGCTCTGTAGGAGTATATGCAATTGCTATAGGTTTTTCTGTAAAACTTTTCAAAGTAGCTGTTATTATGTTATTATTAACAATTCTTGATTCTAATTTTTCATCTTGTTGTTGCATGGAATTCCATTGGTTATTGTAGCTATAATCGTCCAGTTTGTTGTTGTTGGGCCTTTCCAGAGGATAAGGAAAGTCGGATTTGATTGCCAACGTTGACGGTCTCGAGTGGGGTTTCAATATCGGGGCCTCATTACGGTGTTTTTCAAAGTTGAAATCAGCCTTATTATTTTTAGCTTCTGAGTTATTATTAACTGGATATACTTTATAGATGTCAGTTTTCTTATCGGTTTCTGCTTTAACTGTTGTAGTTTGTTCATCACTAATGTTGCTATTTTTGGCTTGAATCATTTGCAATGTTTCAACATCACTAGTTCTTCTGTTAGCAATATGAATATTAGGAGGAGTTTGATACATCAAATCAGCATCAGTAGGTATTCTTGGATCTTCATTCATAATCCTATCTTCTGCCATAAGGTTACGATCCTCTAAGCTTTGTGGTGGTTGTTGTGCCAAAGGTCTACGTTCTTCTAAGTCATAATTCTGAGGTCGATATACAATATTTTTAGGTGGAGGATATCTTTTGTAAAGGGGCATTTTTTCGAAAAACCCTATTGGCCTGTTTGAAGGTCTTTCCAATAAAGGTTGTCTGTTGAAACGTTGATCATATCTATAATGATGTTGCATATTTGGTCTAAATTGTGGCAAAATGTTTGGTAAAGTATCGATTCTTTTAAAGGCTACTTCTGGAGGAGGCCTGGGAGGACGTGCATATTCAGGTTTACCGCTGTAGAAATGGCCAGGCCTTGGATCCCAAGGAGGCCTCATCGGTCTATCCTGGTATCTGGAAGGAAATGCTACAACATCGTTTTCTTTTGGAGGTGTTAAGTCACTGGGAAGTTGATGATACATTGGTTTGGAGTTTAGTTTTAAAACTTCTTTGTTGGCTTGTTTGTCTTCTGGAAATACAACTTTATTGCCTTCGGCTTTGGGAAAATGGATTTTATCATTGTCTAATGAAGCATCCATTACTTGGCCTGGCACCTGTTTAATACCATTCACAGGCATCCCTATGGCAAGAGATGCTTCGGAATTTTTCAATGGTTGAATTGTAACGGCACTGCCAGTTTGAAGAGGTTTAAGATCTACTTGCAAAGGCCTAAAAGAGCTTTCTTTGGTTGCTGTTCCGACGTATTGGCCTGTAGAGTCACTATCACCAACGCTCTGATGATGGCCTACAACAAACGAAACAGTGTCTTGATTTGGAGCTATGTGAATGCTACTGGAACTGGGTGCCAGTTGGTTTTGGTTGACTTTTTCGCTGTTTAGTTTTTCGCGTAGATTTTGAGTGGCAACTATTATGGGGTCTCTATTAAGCGAGCCTCCTATGTGATTGTCGCCCAAAGGCAACGAAGTTACTCTTGTAGTTGTAGTTGTAGTACTTGTAGATCTATAAGTTGTTGTTGTTGATGGCTTTTGAGTTGTTGTTGAATATTTAAAATTGCTAGGCTTTTTGGTAGGTTTAATTTTATCCTCATTCAAAGGTTCCACACTTAAATTTTCCTGGAAATTGTTTTCAACTGCAACATTATCGTCGCTATACTCGTATTCGTAGCCTTCTTGAGGCCCCGCATGAATATTTGGATAATAATTATTGGTTGTAATTGAAATTATTGGTTTAGATGTTGTTGTAGTTGTTGTTGTAGTTGTAGTGGGTTTAGTTGTTGTAACTGTTTCATCGTAATCACCAAATAGCTGTTCAAATAAGCTCATTACTTTTTTGGTTGTAGTTGTTGAAGCCATAGTTGAATGAGTATTTTTTGTTGTAGTTGTAGCTTCATCATAATAATCATATTCTTCATTAAAACTTGGATGCGACATTGGAGAATTCAAAACACTCACTTGCGCTGTAGTCAATTCTGGAAATCGTTTAATTGTAGTCGGTTTTGGTGTAGTTGTGGTTGTAGTTACAACAGTAGTGGCCATAGTTCTTTGTGTAGTCCTTGGGGTGAAATATGTTTGAGTTGTAGTAGAAGGTTTTTTGGTTGTAGTAGGTTTTTGCACCCCAAAAGTGTCCTTATGATTGTGAAACTTGTTAACGCTGCCTTGAATCTTGGTGCTGGCATACGAGCTGGATATCAACGGATAAACATATTTGTCTTGATTGTATTTGACTGGGAGATTGAGGAAATCGTGAAAATTCGGCGTGAGTTGGTTTACATCGGTTTGCTGATGATGAAGGCTACCATAACTGCCGTCTTTTCTGTTGATATTTTTTTTGGCGTAGATGTCGTCTGAGTCTTGGTATTCGTAATCGGTTTCGTCTGATTTTAAAGATGGCGATTTGTGATCGAAGTCGATTTTTCCTGTTAGAGGGTCTTTTTCCACGTAAAATGGTTTTCCGTGGTTGAAGATGTTTTCTGGGAGGTTGTAGCCTGGCAAAACTAATGGAGAAGGATCAGGGATTTCTTCTGAGTTGTGTTTTGTGGTCTGGAAAAAATAAATTATTATTAGAATAATGATTTTTTTATTCTCGGCATTTGAATTTAATAAATATTTCAGGAAGTTATGAAAATTCAAAACACAATTATGGATTGGGTTCTTTAGGACAAAAGCCAGGTATCAATATTAGGCAAGGTGAATCCCAGGTAGAGGGTTCAGGGATATTAATATAAATTTGTAGAGTAATATCTTCTCCCACTCAAATTTCAGCTCTAGTAGTGCCTGGAATGGGACTTTCACACTTTGAAGGCTGATATTTCAAGAACTGTTTGAAATATTGAAATCAAACCTGTTTTATCTTGTAAAGCATTCAATTCTGATTCAGAATCATTAATTTTAAATTCAAATTTGAAGATTAATCACTTTTGCCACTCAAATTTCAGCTCTAGTAATGCCTGGAATGGGACTTTCACACTTTGGAGGCTGATATTTCAAGAACTGCTCGAAATATTGAAATCAAACCTGTTCTATCTTGTAAAGCATTCAATTTTGATTCAGAATCATTAATTTTAAATTCAAATTTGAAGATTAATCACTTTTGCCACTCAAATTTCAGCTCTAGTAATGCCTGGAATGGGACTTTCACACTTTGGAGGCTGATATTTCAAGAACTGCTCGAAATATTGAAATCAAACCTGTTCTATCTTGTAAAGCATTCAATTTTGATTCAGAATCATTAATTTTAAATTCAAATTTGAAGATTAATCACTTTTGCCACTCAAATTTCAGCTCTAGTAATGCCTGGAATGGGACTTTCACACTTTGGAGGCTGATATTTCAAGAACTGCTCGAAATATTGAAATCAAACCTGTTCTATCTTGTAAAGCATTCAATTTTGATTCAGAATCATTAATTTTAAATTCAAATTTGAAGATTAATCACTTTTGCCACTCAAATTTCAGCTCTAGTAATGCCTGGAATGGGACTTTCACACTTTGGAGGCTGATATTTCAAGAACTGCTCGAAATATTGAAATCAAACCTGTTCTATCTTGTAAAGCATTCAATTTTGATTCAGAATCATTAATTTTAAATTCAAATTTGAAGATTAATCACTTTTGCCACTCAAATTTCAGCTCTAGTAATGCCTGGAATAAGACTTTTACACTTTGGAGGCTGATATTTCAAGAACTGCTCGAAATATTGAAATCAAACCTGTTCTATCTTGTAAAGCATTCAATTTTGATTCAGAATCATTAATTTTAAATTCAAATTTGAAGAGTAATCACTTTTGCCACTCAAATTTCAGCTCTAGTAATGCCTGGAATGGGACTTTCACACTTTGGAGGCTGATATCTCAAGAACTGCTCGAAATATTGAAATCAAACCTGTCTTATCTTGTAAAGCATTCAATTCTGATTCAGAATCATTAATTTAAAATTCAAATTTGAAGAGTAATCACTTTTGCCACTCAAATTTCAGCTCTAGTAATGCCTGGAATGGGACTTTCACACTTTGGAGGCTGATATTTCAAGAACTGCTCGAAATATTGAAATCAAACCTGTTCTATCTTGTAAAGCATTCAATTTTGATTCAGAATCATTAATTTTAAATTCAAATTTGAAGATTAATCACTTTTGCCACTCAAATTTCAGCTCTAGTAATGCCTGGAATGGGACTTTCACACTTTGGAGGCTGATATTTCAAGAACTGCTCGAAATATTGAAATCAAACCTGTTCTATCTTGTAAAGCATTCAATTTTGATTCAGAATCATTAATTTTAAATTCAAATTTGAAGATTAATCACTTTTGCCACTCAAATTTCAGCTCTAGTAATGCCTGGAATGGGACTTTCACACTTTGGAGGCTGATATTTCAAGAACTGCTCGAAATATTGAAATCAAACCTGTTCTATCTTGTAAAGCATTCAATTTTGATTCAGAATCATTAATTTTAAATTCAAATTTGAAGATTAATCACTTTTGCCACTCAAATTTCAGCTCTAGTAATGCCTGGAATGGGACTTTCACACTTTGGAGGCTGATATTTCAAGAACTGCTCGAAATATTGAAATCAAACCTGTTCTATCTTGTAAAGCATTCAATTTTGATTCAGAATCATTAATTTTAAATTCAAATTTGAAGATTAATCACTTTTGCCACTCAAATTTCAGCTCTAGTAATGCCTGGAATGGGACTTTCACACTTTGGAGGCTGATATCTCAAGAACTGCTCGAAATATTGAAATCAAACCTGTCTTATCTTGTAAAGCATTCAATTCTGATTCAGAATCATTAATTTAAAATTCAAATTTGAAGAGTAATCACTTTTGCCACTCAAATTTCAGCTCTAGTAATGCCTGGAATGGGACTTTCACACTTTGGAGGCTGATATTTCAAGAACTGCTCGAAATATTGAAATCAAACCTGTTCTATCTTGTAAAGCATTCAATTTTGATTCAGAATCATTAATTTTAAATTCAAATTTGAAGATTAATCACTTTTGCCACTCAAATTTCAGCTCTAGTAATGCCTGGAATGGGACTTTCACACTTTGGAGGCTGATATTTCAAGAACTGCTCGAAATATTGAAATCAAACCTGTTCTATCTTGTAAAGCATTCAATTTTGATTCAGAATCATTAATTTTAAATTCAAATTTGAAGATTAATCACTTTTGCCACTCAAATTTCAGCTCTAGTAATGCCTGGAATGGGACTTTCACACTTTGGAGGCTGATATTTCAAGAACTGCTCGAAATATTGAAATCAAACCTGTTCTATCTTGTAAAGCATTCAATTTTGATTCAGAATCATTAATTTTAAATTCAAATTTGAAGATTAATCACTTTTGCCACTCAAATTTCAGCTCTAGTAATGCCTGGAATGGGACTTTCACACTTTGGAGGCTGATATTTCAAGAACTGCTCGAAATATTGAAATCAAACCTGTTCTATCTTGTAAAGCATTCAATTTTGATTCAGAATCATTAATTTTAAATTCAAATTTGAAGATTAATGACTTTTGCCACTCAAATTTCAGCTCTAGTAGTGCCTGGAATGGGACTTTCACACTTTGGAGGCTGATATTTCAAGAACTGCTCGAAATATTGAAATCAAACCTGTTCTATCTTGTAAAGCATTCAATTTTGATTCAGAATCATTAATTTTAAATTCAAATTTGAAGATTAATCACTTTTGCCACTCAAATTTCAGCTCTAGTAATGCCTGGAATGGGACTTTCACACTTTGAAGGCTGATATCTCAAGAACTGTTCAAAATATTGAAATCAAACCTGTTTTATCTTGTAAAGCATTCAATTTTGATTCAGAATCATTAATTTTAAATTCAAATTTGAAGATTAATCACTTTTGCCACTCAAATTTCAGCTCTAGTAATGCCTGGAATAAGACTTTTACACTTTGGAGGCTGATATTTCAAGAACTGCTCGAAATATTGAAATCAAACCTGTTCTATCTTGTAAAGCATTCAATTTTGATTCAGAATCATTAATTTTAAATTCAAATTTGAAGATTAATCACTTTTGCCACTCAAATTTCAGCTCTAGTAATGCCTGGAATAAGACTTTTACACTTTGGAGGCTGATATTTCAAGAACTGCTCGAAATATTGAAATCAAACCTGTTCTATCTTGTAAAGCATTCAATTTTGATTCAGAATCATTAATTTTAAATTCAAATTTGAAGATTAATCACTTTTGCCACTCAAATTTCAGCTCTAGTAATGCCTGGAATGGGACTTTCACACTTTGGAGGCTGATATCTCAAGAACTGCTCGAAATATTGAAATCAAACCTGTCTTATCTTGTAAAGCATTCAATTCTGATTCAGAATCATTAATTTTAAATTCAAATTTGAAGATTAATCACTTTTGCCACTCAAATTTCAGCTCTAGTAATGCCTGGAATAAGACTTTTACACTTTGGAGGCTGATATTTCAAGAACTGCTCGAAATATTGAAATCAAACCTGTTCTATCTTATAAAGCATTCAATTTTGATTCAGAATCATTAATTTTAAATTCAAATTTGAAGATTAATCACTTTTGCCACTCAAATTTCAGCTCTAGTAATGCCTGGAATGGGACTTTCACACTTTGGAGGCTGATATCTCAAGAACTGCTCGAAATATTGAAATCAAACCTGTCTTATCTTGTAAAGCATTCAATTCTGATTCAGAATCATTAATTTTAAATTCAAATTTGAAGATTAATCACTTTTGCCACTCAAATTTCAGCTCTAGTAATGCCTGGAATGGGATTTTCACACTTTGGAGGGTGATATTTCAAGAACTGCTCGAAATATTGAAATCAAACCTGTTCTATCTTGTAAAGCATTCAATTTTGATTCAGAATCATTAATTTAAAATTCAAATTTGAAGATTAATCACTTTTGCCACTCAAATTTCAGCTCTAGTAATGCCTGGAATAAGACTTTTACACTTTGGAGGCTGATATTTCAAGAACTGCTCGAAATATTGAAATCAAACCTGTTCTATCTTATAAAGCATTCAATTTTGATTCAGAATCATTAATTTTAAATTCAAATTTGAAGATTAATCACTTTTGCCACTCAAATTTCAGCTCTAGTAATGCCTGGAATGGGACTTTCACACTTTGGAGGCTGATATCTCAAGAACTGCTCGAAATATTGAAATCAAACCTGTCTTATCTTGTAAAGCATTCAATTCTGATTCAGAATCATTAATTTTAAATTCAAATTTGAAGATTAATCACTTTTGCCACTCAAATTTCAGCTCTAGTAATGCCTGGAATGGGACTTTCACACTTTGGAGGGTGATATTTCAAGAACTGCTCGAAATATTGAAATCAAACCTGTTCTATCTTGTAAAGCATTCAATTTTGATTCAGAATCATTAATTTTAAATTCAAATTTGAAGATTAATCACTTTTGCCACTCAAATTTCAGCTCTAGTAGTGCCTGGAATGGGACTTTCACATTTTGGAAACTCATATCTCAAGAATTGTTCAAAATATTGAAATCAAACTTGTTTTATCTTGTAAAGCATTCAATTCTGATTCAAATTCAAATTTGTAGAGTAATAACTTGTCCCAATCAATATTGAACTTGCAAAGCCAATTTAAAAAAACTCCAAAACTTCCAAACACCAATTTATATTCCCAAGAAATTTGTAGAATGCTTCAAAACTTGTCAAATCAAGTTTAAAATACTATAGAACTTTAATAAGTCATCAAATTACTTTCCAGCAGCATCTTGCAACAATTTAAAAACCTCAGAATCAGCCTAGCGCCTGGAATAGACAAAAATTGAAATTTCTGAGGCCTATATAACTTACCTGTTTCTGAGCAGCAACTTCTGCTGTACTTTCCGTATAATCGTAATCATTTTCTGAGCTATTGGTACTATTTTTATTATCAATGTGGCCTCCCATCAGTACTCCAGCATCAGTGTTCTGAATTAGCAAAACTGTCGAAACCAGAATTTTCAGAATTGTTAGCAAAACATGCTTGAGCTCCATATTTATTTCTTAACTGAAATTAAAGTGTAGGTGTAAAATTTAACGGTTCTTCATAATTTTGTCTTGGTCAAGGTGAAGGCCTTGAGCCTGAATATTTGACCTACAAATTATTGTAACGCTCTGATAATTTTGTGGAACTTTCTTTTTATAGGGCTAAAACTTTCTTTTATTAAAACAATAACGGTTCATATTGACAATTTTTTAAATATTTATTTATTCAAAAGGATTGGTTGGTTGGCACAAGAAGCAGAACAAAAACGGTAAAAGGAAATTCCACACCGGTAATTTTCAAACAGTTATCTTTGGCTTATTTATAAGGTTTTACTACTTTTAAGAATTAAAAGGAAAACTTACCTTTTCATACAAATTATTTAAATGAAAATCCTCTTATATTAGCACAAAATTAACTAGTGGTTTCTTCATTGTTTGGGTCATCTGCAAAGTCTTATCATCTTATATCATATATACGGAAGAAAGGTCATTGAAAACGGACCATAAGAATTATATGGAAGAACAGTTTCAACCAGCCGCTGATCTTTAACCGAGAACGAAACTTGAAATGAACAGTTTTTCTATAGTAGCGGTGCGGCATTTCTTCTTTTACTTCTTCCGCGTCGAAGAAATACAGTTTTCGCATGGAGAATTTTTTATATTTAACCTGTATATTGTAGAAAAATGAAATTTTGCAACAACCCAATCTTCTTTAGAATTTTCACTTCAAAACATCCTCATTTCTGTATTATGACTCGTAAAGTAAATTGAATCAATTTGATTTAGTTATTCATTAGTCCTAACAACCTCTATGGTCTCTTAGGTTTTTATAATAATGTTGTAGAGATTTCAAAAGTTTTAAACCAAGCCAATTTTCTTTAGAATTTACTTTCCAAAAGATCCTAATTTGTATATCATGAATGGTGGAGCAAATTGAACCAGTTTGTTATGTATTTTTCCAGATATTTTTGAAATAAGAAGTGTCTCAACAACGGCTGGACTCTTGGGTTCTAATAATGTTATAAAGATTTCGAATTTCTAAACCAAACCCAATCTTTCTCAGAACTTTTAACATGTTTCGACGAAGAATTAAAACATAACGTATGTGAAATACCAATGGTAAAACTACCATCATTGAATAAAATAATGGTTCAAGTTCCTGAAACTGGGTCGCATAAATGTAAGTCTTTAGGCTAATGACTTGGCAGTGATTATTATTAAAAATATTTCTCTATTGAATTCAAAGGAAGCTTGTTTTGTATTTGCAATAAATTCTATATAAAAGATCCCATATAAAGCTGATGATGATGTATGTGTGGAAAATTTTAAATGTTTAATTATTATTGAAACGACAGGATATTAGTCAAAAATCGTTTCAAAAATAGATTAATATACGATGCCAAAACGCATTAAAAATCTCTATTACATATGAACAGCGTTTTTCTTGGAAAAACAAAACATTACTTTCTCATGTTTTGACTCAGATGTTAATAGGAGAAAGGCGAATAAGAAATAAAAATAAAATCCGCATTGTTTGCACCTAATAAAGACAACTACTTGTGTAATTTTATTGATTAGATGGGAAAATTCTATTTTCAATTATTGTCAAGAAACACAAAAATCAAAATAGAAATTTATACAATACGGGAAAAAAAGCATTTAGCATTGACGATTTTCTAAATTTAAAACGCCACCGGACCGCATGCGGATTCATACGAATTTTCTCACCTCGCGATTTTTAGTTTTTCGGTTCGGTGGCTCAAAGTCGTTGCAGTTTTTCAATGGGAAATGTTTGATTATTTTGATTGCGGTTATTGAGTTCGGAGTGAATGTTTAGTGAATCGGTAGGTATATAAATAAACTATTAATTTATTTATTTATGCAGCTAGATTGTTGAAATCTTATTTTGAAAAATTATATTCTTCAGAAGCATTTTAGAAGGTCTTAAAATACCTACGTAGTATTGATAAATCACCCCAAATTGCTTAACACGATTTATTCTCAGGAACTATTAGTGCAAATGAGTTGAAATTTTCAGGGATATTAGTCTTCTACTGAAATAAGAATCGCTGAAAATTTCAGCTTTCTATCTTTATTAGAAAAAAAGTTATGACCTGTCAAAGTTTTCCAAAATCTAAATCATAAGGTAGGTACCTACCTTCCTACTAAAACAATGAAATTTCAAATTTTTTTCTGTAGAGATTTTGTGTCCTAATGGTCACTTGTGATCCCTCGATCTCCATACACTAAGTTATTCCCAGATTTGAAGCCGAAATCTATGAAAAAAGGCACTCAGAAAAATTGGAAAATTGATAAATCACCCCAAATTGCTTAACCCAATTTTATCTCAGGAACTAAAGGTGCAAATGAGTTGAAATTTTCAGAGATATTAGTCCTCTACTAAAATAAGAATCGTTGAAAATTTCAGCTTTCTATCTTTATTAGAAAAAAAGTTATGACCTGTCAAAGTTTTCCAAAATCTAAATCATAAGGTAGGTACCTTCCTACTGAAACAATGAAATTTCAATTTTTTTTGTGTGGAGATTTTGTGTCCTAATGGTCACTTGTGATCCCTCGATCTCCATACACTAAGTTATTCCCAGATTTGAAGCCGAAATCTATGAAAAAAGGCACTCAGAAAAATTGGAAAATTGATAAATCACCCCAAATTGCTTAACCCAATTTTATCTCAGGAACTAAAGGTGCAAATGAGTTGAAATTTTCAGGGATATTAGTCCTCTACTAAAATAAGAATCGCTGAAAATTTCAGCTTTCTATCTTTATTAGAAAAAAAGTTATGACCTGTCAAAGTTTTCCAAAATCTAAATCATAAAGTAGGTACCTTCCTACTAAAACAATGAAATTTCAATTTTTTTTGTGTGGAGATTTTGTGTCCTAATGGTCACTTGTGGTCCCTCGATCTCCATACACTAAGTTATTCCCAGATTTGAAGCCGAAATCTATGAAAAAAGGCACTCAGAAATATTGGAAAATTGATAAATCACCCCAAATTGCCTGACCCAATTTTATCTCAGGAACTATAGGTGCAAATGAGTTGAAATTTTCAGGGATATTAGTCCTCTACTAAAATAAGAATCGCTGAAAATTTCAGCTTTCTATCTTTATTAGAAAAAAAGTTATGACCTGTCAAAGTTTTCCAAAATCTAAATCATAAAGTAGGTACCTTCCTACTAAAACAATGAAATTTCAAATTTTTTTGTGTAGAGATTTTGTGTCCTAATGGTCACTTGTGATCCCTCGATCTCCATACACTAAGTTATTCCCAAATTTGAAGCTGAAATCTATGAAAAAAGGCACTCAGAAAAATTGGAAAATTGATAAATCACCCCAAATTGCCTAACCCAATTTTATCTCAGGAACTATAGGTGCAAATGACTTGAAATTTTCAGGGATATTAGTCCTCTACTAAAATAAGAATCGCTGAAAATTTCAGCTTTCTATCTTTATTAGAAAAAAAGTTATGACCTGTCAAAGTTTTCCAAAATCTAAATCATAAAGTAGGTACCTTCCTACTAAAACAATGAAATTTCAAATTTTTTTGTGTGGAGATTTTGTGTCCTAATGGTCACTTGTGATCCCTCGATCTCCATACACTAAGTTATTCCCAGATTTGAAGCCGAAATCTATGAAAAAAGGCACTCAGAAAAATTGGAAAATTGATAAATCACCCCAAATTGCCTAACCCAATTTTATCTCAGGAACTATAGGTGCAAATGACTTGAAATTTTCAGGGATATTAGTCCTCTACTGAAATAAGATTCGCTAAAAATTTCAGCTATCTAAGTTATTCCCAGATTTGAAGCCGAAATCTATGAAAAAAGGCACTCAGAAAAATTGAAAAATTGATAAATCACCCCAAATTGCTTAACCCAATTTTATCTCAGGAACTATAGGTGCAAATGAGTTGAAATTTTCAGGGATATTAGTCCTCTACTAAAATAAGAATCGCTGAAAATTTCAGCTTTCTATCTTTATTAGAAAAAAAGTTATGACCTGTCAAAGTTTTCCAAGATCTAAATCATAAGGTAGGTACCTTCCTACTAAAACAATGAAATTTCAATTTTTTTTGTGTGGAGATTTTGTGTCCTAATGGTCCCTTGTGATCCCTCGATCTCCATACACTAAGTTATTCCCAGATTTGAAGCCGAAATCTATGAAAAAAGGCACTCAGAAAAATTGAAAAATTGATAAATCACCCCAAATTGCTTAACCCAATTTTATCTCAGGAACTAAAGGTGCAAATGAGTTGAAATTTTCAGGGATATTAGTCCTCTACTAAAATAAGAATCGCTGAAAATTTCAGCTTTCTATCTTTATTAGAAAAAAAGTTATGACCTGTCAAAGTTTTCCAAAATCTAAATCATAAAGTAGGTACCTTCCTACTAAAACAATGAAATTTCAAATTTTTTTGTGTAGAGATTTTGTGTCCTAATGGTCACTTGTGATCCCTCGATCTCCATACACTAAGTTATTCCCAAATTTGAAGCTGAAATCTATGAAAAAAGGCACTCAGAAAAATTGGAAAATTGATAAATCACCCCAAATTGCCTAACCCAATTTTATCTCAGGAACTATAGGTGCAAATGACTTGAAATTTTCAGGGATATTAGTCCTCTACTAAAATAAGAATCGCTGAAAATTTCAGCTTTCTATCTTTATTAGAAAAAAAGTTATGACCTGTCAAAGTTTTCCAAAATCTAAATCATAAAGTAGGTACCTTCCTACTAAAACAATGAAATTTCAAATTTTTTTGTGTGGAGATTTTGTGTCCTAATGGTCACTTGTGATCCCTCGATCTCCATACACTAAGTTATTCCCAGATTTGAAGCCGAAATCTATGAAAAAAGGCACTCAGAAAAATTGGAAAATTGATAAATCACCCCAAATTGCCTAACCCAATTTTATCTCAGGAACTATAGGTGCAAATGACTTGAAATTTTCAGGGATATTAGTCCTCTACTGAAATAAGATTCGCTAAAAATTTCAGCTATCTAAGTTATTCCCAGATTTGAAGCCGAAATCTATGAAAAAAGGCACTCAGAAAAATTGAAAAATTGATAAATCACCCCAAATTGCTTAACCCAATTTTATCTCAGGAACTATAGGTGCAAATGAGTTGAAATTTTCAGGGATATTAGTCCTCTACTAAAATAAGAATCGCTGAAAATTTCAGCTTTCTATCTTTATTAGAAAAAAAGTTATGACCTGTCAAAGTTTTCCAAAATCTAAATCATAAGGTAGGTACCTTCCTACTAAAACAATGAAATTTCAATTTTTTTTCTGTAGAGATTTTGTGTCCTAATGGTCACTTGTGATCCCTCGATCTCCATACACTAAGTTATTCCCAGATTTGAAGCCGAAATCTATGAAAAAAGGCACTCAGAAAAATTGGAAAATTGATAAATCACCCCAAATTGCTTAACCCAATTTTATCTCAGGAACTAAAGGTGCAAATGAGTTGAAATTTTCAGGGATATTAGTCCTCTACTAAAATAAGAATCGCTGAAAATTTCAGCTTTCTATCTTTATTAGAAAAAAAGTTATGACCTGTCAAAGTTTTCCAAAATCTAAATCATAAGGTAGGTACCTTCCTACTAAAACAATGAAATTTCAAATTTTTTTCTGTAGAGATTTTGTGTCCTAATGGTCACTTGTGATCCCTCGATCTCCATACACTAAGTTATTCCCAGATTTGAAGCCGAAATCTATGAAAAAAGGCACTCAGAAAAATTGGAAAATTGATAAATCACCCCAAATTGCTTAACCCAATTTTATCTCAGGAACTAAAGGTGCAAATGAGTTGAAATTTTCAGGGATATTAGTCCTCTACTAAAATAAGAATCGCTGAAAATTTCAGCTTTCTATCTTTATTAGAAAAAAAGTTATGACCTGTCAAAGTTTTCCAAAATCTAAATCATAAGGTAGGTACCTTCCTACTAAAACAATGAAATTTCAAATTTTTTTCTGTAGAGATTTTGTGTCCTAATGGTCACTTGTGATCCCTCGATCTCCATACACTAAGTTATTCCCAGATTTGAAGCCGAAATCTATGAAAAAAGGCACTCAGAAAAATTGGAAAATTGATAAATCACCCCAAATTGCTTAACCCAATTTTATCTCAGGAACTAAAGGTGCAAATGAGTTGAAATTTTCAGGGATATTAGTCCTCTACTAAAATAAGAATCGCTGAAAATTTCAGCTTTCTATCTTTATTAGAAAAAAAGTTATGACCTGTCAAAGTTTTCCAAAATCTAAATCATAAGGTAGGTACCTTCCTACTAAAACAATGAAATTTCAAATTTTTTTCTGTAGAGATTTTGTGTCCTAATGGTCACTTGTGATCCCTCGATCTCCATACACTAAGTTATTCCCAGATTTGAAGCCGAAATCTATGAAAAAAGGCACTCAGAAAAATTGGAAAATTGATAAATCACCCCAAATTGCTTAACCCAATTTTATCTCAGGAACTAAAGGTGCAAATGAGTTGAAATTTTCAGGGATATTAGTCCTCTACTAAAATAAGAATCGCTGAAAATTTCAGCTTTCTATCTTTATTAGAAAAAAAGTTATGACCTGTCAAAGTTTTCCAAAATCTAAATCATAAGGTAGGTACCTTCCTACTAAAACAATGAAATTTCAAATTTTTTTCTGTAGAGATTTTGTGTCCTAATGGTCACTTGTGATCCCTCGATCTCCATACACTAAGTTATTCCCAGATTTGAAGCCGAAATCTATGAAAAAAGGCACTCAGAAAAATTGGAAAATTGATAAATCACCCCAAATTGCTTAACCCAATTTTATCTCAGGAACTAAAGGTGCAAAT